TAACTAGAAGTTTGTACCTTTGACCACCTTCATCCAGTTCTCCACTCCCCCACCCCCTGCCTCTAGTAACCACAAATCTGATCTCTATATCTATGAGTTTGCTTTTTTTCAGATTCTACATATAAGTGAGGTAATACAGTATCTGTCTTTCCCTGACTTATTTCACTTAGCATAATGTCCTCAAGCTCCATCCATGTTGCTGCAGATGCAGGATTTCCTTCTTTATTATGGCTTAATAATACCCTATTGTATATGTACCACATCTTCTTTATCCGTTTGTCTGCAGATGGACACAATTTTTTCCCTGTCTTCGCTATTGTAAATAATGCTACAGTGAACACAAGGGTACAAATATCTTTTCAAGATAGGGATTTTGTTTCCTTAGGGTAAATATCCAGAAGTGGAATTGCTAGATCATGTGACAGTTCTGTTTTAAATTTTTTGAGGAAACTCCATGCTGATTTTTTTTTCTTTTTTTAATAGTGGCTGCACGAATTTACATCCCTACCAACAGTGCACAAAGGTTTCTTTAAAAAACTGTGGTAAAATAGGGACTTCCCTGGTGGTCCAGTGGTTAAGACTCCGTGCTTCCACTGCATGGGGCACGGGTTCAATCCCTGTTGGGGAACTAAGATCCCACATGTGGCGCGGTCCAAAAAAACAGAAAACAAAAAAACCGCCAAAACAAATGGAGTTGAGTGCGCCAACCCGTGATGTCAGAAACATACCCCAAATATAGGAATCACTTTAAAAAAATTGTGGTAAAATATACTACAACAACATAAAATTCATATTATATTTTATAGCATAAAATTTACTATTTAAACCATTATTTCAGTGTACAGTTCAGTGGTATTAAGTACATTCACATTGTTGTGCAATCGTCACCACCATCTATCTCCATTTTTCATCTTCACAAACTAAAACTCCATACCTATTAAATAATAACTCCCCATTCTTCCCTCCCCCAAGCCACTGGCAACTACCATTCTACTTTCTGTCTTTAGGAATTTGACTACTCTAAGCACCTCATGTAGATGGAATTGATACTGTATTTGTCCTCTTGTGATTGACTTATCTCACTTAATGTCCCCAAGGTTCATACATGTTGTAGCACGTGTCTAAATTTCCTTCCTTTTTAAGGCTGAATAATATTTCATTGTATGTATATACCACATTTTGTTTACGCATTCCCCATAGATGACTTGGACACTTGGGTTGCTTCCACATTTCAGCTATTGAGAATAATGCTGCTATGAACATGGGTATACACATATCTGTTTGAGCCTCTGATTTCAATTGTTTGAGGTATATAACCAGAAATGGAATTGCTGGATCATATGGTAATCTATTTCTAACTTTTTGAGGGATGGCCATATTGTTTTCCATGGCAGCCACACCATTTTATATTCCAACCAACAGTGTACGGTAGTTTCAATTTTTCCATATCTTCCTGAACACTTCTTTTCTTTTTTTTTTGATAAAAGCCTTCCTAATGGGTATGAAGTGGTATCTCATTGTGATTTTTTAAAAATTAATTTATTTTATTATTTATTTATTTTTGGCAGTGTTGGGTTTTCGTTGCTGCGCGTGGGCTTTCTCTAGTTGCGGTGAGTGGGGACTACTCTTCGTTGCGATGCACAGGCTTCTGATTGCGGTGGCTTCTCTCATTGCGGAGCACAGGCTCTAGGTGCACGGGCTTCAGTAGTTGTAGCGCATGGGCTCAGTAGTTGTGGCTTGCGGGCTCTAGAATGCAGGCTCAGTAGTTGTGGCGCACGGGCTTAGTTGCTCCGCGGCATGTGGGATCTTCCCGGACCAGGGCTCGAACCCGTGTCCCCTGCATTGGCAGGCGGATTCTTAACCACTGCGCCACCAGGGAAGTCCCCTCTCATTGTGATTTTGATTTTCATTTCCCTAATGATGAGTGATGTTGAGCATCTTTTCATGTGCTTATTGGCCATTTGTGCATCTTTTTCAAAGAAAGTTCTTTTCAGGTCCTTTGCCCATTTTTAAATCATATTTTAAAATATTGTTGATTTGTAGGAGTTCTTTATATATTCTGGATATCAATCTCTTATCAGATATATGATTTGAAAATATTTTCTCCCATCCTGTGAGTTGCCTTTTCACTCTGTGGATAGTATTGTTTGATGCATAAAAGTTTATCATTTTGATATTGTTCAGTTTATCTATTTTCTCTTTTGTTGTCTGTGCTTTGGTGTTTCTCTTTAATTTTTTAAAATCCTACCTAGTCCGTCTCCTTGGGTAAGCCTTCTCAGCACCACTGAGCATTGTACCTCAGTACTGACTTGTTTCTAAGTTGCCTGAGGGCGATGACTTATTTTTCAATTTCCCCTCAAGTGGGGGACCATAGTCCCCTTGAGTTCACTTAATAAACCTAAATGTATATAGTGGCAGCAAATGTCATTTGTTCAATCAGTAGTTGAGGGATGGATAGATGGATGAATAAATGAAGAGTGAACCCAGGGACACATAGTCAGTTCTCACCACCCCAGGTTATCCATGTTCTGACCTTTTCAGACAAACCAGTGTGTGTGAGCTTCTAGGCATCCTATGGTGGGCTCAGGGAAACTGGGGATTGGACTGCCCTCTCCAGTATATTGTGAAGTTGACAACTGAAGATTGTGGGTGTCTGAGCCAGAGAACTACTACGGTGAAAATAGATGAACATGTAGCATTTGGGCCTTTTAAAACCTACTTTCACTGTATCTGAGGACAGGAAATAAAATTGGTACTGCTCACAATAGCTGAAAAAAGTTTATTTCAGTAGGTGTGTCTTCTCAGCTAGGTGGAGAACCTCTATTCCCAGGTACACCTGCATTTAATCAACAGATGTGTTCCTAAAATTAACTGAGTAAATTACTTGTTTTACACTCATTTGTTCATAACTTCATCATCATCATCATCATCATCATCATCATATCTGACTTTCAAAGGTTTATATCATACATGTGTCAGGCAGCATGCTAGGTGCTTTAAAAGTGTTATTTCTTCTAATTCCCTCAAAAACTCTATGAGATGGTATCATTACTCCAATGATAGAGATGAGGAAGCTGAGTCTTAAGGAAATTAAATACCTTGCCATGGGTCCTACATCTGTGCTGTTTATTATGTGCTAAATGCTAGAGACATAAAAATGAGGCAGATATCATTGCCCGTGGAATTGCAGTGACAGAGGTGGACACAGGAGATAATGAGACAAGGAGGACCACCTATTCTCTGTCAGTGTTTAGTGAGTCAGGGAAGGCTTCCTAAGGAGGGAGGGCTCACTTAGGGCTCCTTCCTAAGGAGGGAGGGCTGAGCTGAGTCTTAGAGGAAAAGATAGCACTGGAAAGGGAGAGTGGACATCTAATTGTTCTGCCAGTCCTGCAGAATGCTCTTTTTCTGGGACTGATGTTCCTCTTCTTTCGTGTAGCTTCCGACCATGAGATTCCTGCAGGATCTCACAAAGTCCTTGACTCTGATCGAGTTGTCTAGAGGTAGACACCAACCGAAGCCCAGGCCAATCACAGACTTGCCCTAGGGGTTTTCAAACCAAATCTCTGAACAAACATCTATCCTTATCTAATGGTAGAAATTGAAGAATGAACGCAGGGGCTGTTGGCAGCTGGGTTTCTTGACATGTTGACGGGATGGTCTAGAGGGAGAGTAAGGCCAATAAAAAGAGAGAACAGGGACCAGTGGTAGAGAGACTTGGTAGTCTGCCTGTTCCCTGGCTTGGTTTTTCATCATTCCTTTAATAAGCCAGATCAATCTGTATTCTTCTTTTTTTCTGTTTGTTTATTTTTTATTTTTTAATTCATCTTTATTGGAGTATAATTGCTTCACAATACTGTGTTAATTTCTGTTGCACAACAAAGTGAATCAGCCATATGCATACATATATCCCCACATCGCCTCCCTCTTGAGTCTCCCTCTCACCCTCCCTCTTTTAACTCAGTGGCTCCAGGTGGATTTCTATCACTTTCCATTTCTATTACTTTCCATGGTAAGAGCCCTAATATACATACTTACTAATAGGCATGAATGCTTGACTCTGGGAGAGTAAACGCTTAAACAAAATACCAGAAGCAAGCAGAGCAAGAGGTGAATTTAAATGGAGGAAGCCGCAAGTAGTTTGGTGTTTGTCAGAGTGTAAACATCAAGACAAGAAGTGGCAAGAGATGAGGCTAATAAGTAGACAGAATCTGATCATGGGACCTGGATATATTTTGCAAAGTACTTTGAACTTGATCCTGTATACATTCTGTTCATTCTACAGGGTTATAAGTAGGCATTAGGCAGAGGTTCTGTAAACTGTACAATAATTAGTAGTAATTAAGAGGCTCTTAACCTGGGAGTCACAGACAGGCTTCAGCTGTCTCCAGTCCCTCTCAAATAGCATGAAAAATCTGTGGGTGTGTACAGGTTTGTTTTTGTTATGGAAGAGGTCCCTAACTTTCATCAGATATTAAAGGAGTCCCTGACCCCAAATATGTATGAACTGCTATCTATGTACAGGCATTTTCAGGAGTTACTGACTTCAAATATTCATGCAAATCTCATTGCCCCCCTCCCTCCGATTTCCTCACGACGCTTAAAAACTGTTGAGCACAGAGAAAATGCTTCATAACTGTTTGGTTGGACACTGTCTTAAGGGCAAAATGCCAAAGGGCATTTTCCTTTGGGATCATGAAACAATGTAAAGAGATGATATAGACCTGGTTATTTATACAGATTTTAACCGGGAATATTGGATGTGACATCCATCCTGTTATTGACTTGGGCAGCCAGCCAAGACCTGCAGGCTCTCGGAGGTGTCACCCGGGGCACCAACGTTGTCTCTGAAAGCCAACTCCGAGCATCCTTGTCCTTCCACCCGCAGGTGCAACGACTACAAGTCCCAGGACGCTTCGCTCTTGGAGCCTGGGCGGGGGCGGGGCGGATCTCCGCAGTGACGTCACCGTCCCGGGGCGGACCGAGGGAGGGCGGGGCGAAGGGGCGGGGCGGGGAGGCGCCGGAGCGCGCTGGTGCTGATGCAGGATGGCTGAGCTCGCAGGAGCCCGGGAGGTCTGAGCCGGGAGAGGCTTGCTCCCTGCGCATCGCCTCGTCCGCCCGCCGCGTGGTCCTGGGCAGGTGGTCCCGGGACGCAGCGCAGGGCCAGGGCAGGGCCAGGGAAGGCAGGTGTGCAGCCGGACGGGCCAAAGGTTGATAGACTGCCCACCCACCAGGTCTCGGAGCGGCCAGAGCTGCCCAGCCCGCCGAGTTCGCGATGACCTGCTGAGAAGCTTCGTCGGAGGCTGCGGGAGGCGGCCTCGTTGCGGGCGGTGCGGTTCTCGACCACCTCCCTAGTTGTGCGGATCCCCGTCCCCCCGCCCATCCCCGCGCCCCTTCCCTCTGCCGCCGGCAGAGATGGCGGATCCAGCCGAATGCAGCATCAAAGTGATGTGCCGGTTCCGGCCACTCAACGAAGCTGAGATCCTCCGCGGGGACAAATTCATCCCCAAATTTAAAGGCGATGAGACCGTGGTGATCGGGGTAAGTGGCTGGGAAGTCTGGCCTCCCCTGCTGCTTCGCGCCGCAGCCCTGACGCCCCAGATCAGGCAGAGATGCTCGGGCTACCCCTTCGGACATCCCCTCGGGGCTGCCCTCTAGGGTGGACTTGACGAGAAATCCCCTCCCCCCCCGTAGTTCCCCCCTGGGCCGGTGGAGGGTCGACTGGGGACCATGGGGCGGGCTCCAGGCGGCGGGGGTCGGGGTGGGGGGCGAGGAAGGGTTCGGCGCCGCCATTGTTATTGGGGTGCGGGCCCGAGTGGGCCCATTGTTCCCCGCCCTGGCCACACCGCGTGGGTAGTGTGTCAGGTTACCTTCAAGCCCACGTGTAACCCACAAATGATTCCAGGCATTGGTTCAATTTATCGAACACTTTGCCTCTTCTCACGAGCTTGGTGAAAGAAACAAGGTACTGGAAAAATCCTAGCCTCGGCGCGGAGCTCCCACAGCTGTGCAGAATTGGCTCCCCGCGGCGTTCCTCCTTGCTCTGCACGCGGAAGGCGGGGGATGGGGGAACACTGGTGGCCTTGGTGTCTCCTGCTTCCTCTCAACCCAGGCTGCCCTGGCTTGGGCCTCGGTTCTGACCCTTCCGCAATAGGGCGACCCCCACCTGGTGTCCGCAGATCCTCGGGTGTGCTTCACGCTGGGTGGAGAGGTGGCTGTGCGCCCACGTCTGTGGGGCTGGGGTTCCGGAGCGCAACCAAATAGCCTCTGTGCCCAAAGAAGTTACTTTGTGTGGCTGGGGTCCCCCTCCCTCTTGGTCTCCCTTCCCACGTTACCCCTACCCCCTTCCCTCACCTCCGCAGACTTGGCTCTATTTCTGCAGCGGGGCTGCTGGTCGAGGGGAGGGAATACCATTGAGTTTTAGTTCTTAAAGGAATATGTCAAATGAAATAAGCCAGCCTCCCCCCGCTCCACGGCCCTTCCCCCTCCGCTGTCCCCAGCGTGTGTAGCTGATGGTGCCCTCTTTGTATGCGAGTCGCGTGGGGAGGGACCGAGTTAATACGAGCCTCCCGATCCCTGCTGACACGTTGCTGGCAGCCTGCTCGAGGCTGCTGATGCAGCCTTCCCGGCCTCAGCATTGATTAAGTGATGTCATCCCGTTTACTGAGCATGCTCCGACTAACCCCCTCCCTCCTATTTCACCCAGTGGCTGGTGTATTTAGGTCAAGTGATTGACAAGTGACAATTTACTTAGGGTCTCTGCCCGAGTCAGCCCGGCCTTTCTTAGGCACCAGAGGCCGACATTTGCCGGCCCAAGCAGTCCCAGCGTCTTCGCCAAGGTTGTGCCGCAGTCCCTGGTTAGGGACCTGAGCACTGGCAGATGCTGGCTGCTCTCCGCGCGAGGGGAACAGAGGCAAGGCTCTGGCCTCTGGGCTTCATCTTGTACCTCCCTTAGGAAGGCAGCTCCTCTCGACGCCCTCTTCTCTCCTCCCAGTTTTCACAGCCATCAGAAAACCGTGACCTCCAAATGCTATGGGGATGGTAGTTCACCCTGAGAGCTGACCTAAGAGGGCGGGAAAGAGGGGTTTTCTGTCTGCTTAGTGTTAAATTGAAGAAAAGATGTATGCTACAATTATTGATGAGGAAGATTCTATACTTAATGGCAGACATGGGATAGTGACATATCTATGGCCAGTACATGGGGCAGATGGGGCAGAGGTGTTGGCATACACCTCTAAGATAGGGTCAGCCTATAGTCTGACTTGCTATGCTATTAGAAGGTTTAGATAGAGTGGGAGTTACTGGGGACATCTAGTCCCTGCCCCTTGTCTTGTAACAATTTTTTAACAAGTAATTGTGCACCCCTAGAACATGGTCTGATGACCCTAGTTTTTCAGAGGTTTTAAAGAAAAGCTGAAGTTGTTTCTTCCCCTTTTCCTCCTCCTCCTCCTTTTCCTTCCTCCTCCTCTTCCTCCATCTTCTAAGGGTGATATACCAGGACTAATGAAGTGGAGTACTAAATCATCCCTTTGATCTGTGTGCAAGGCAGAGATCCTTAATCTTACAGTTATTCTTCTTTCATTTTGACACTACTATGAGTATATATTTAATTCCCATCTACATATTCATGTTATTGAGTGAATAAAGTAAAAACAAAGTCACCATATGAAATAAGTATATTAAACAAAAGATTGTGGATGTGAATACACATGTAGCTCTTTAACTGTAAATTAACATTTATGATCATCTTACTATAATCCTTTTTTTAAAAAAATTATTTATTTATTTATCTTTGGCTGCATTGGGTCTTCGTTGCTGCACACAGGCTTTCTCTGGTTGTGGCGAGCGGGGACTACTCTTTGTTGTGGTGCGCGGGCTTCTCATTGCGGTGGCTTCTCTTGTTGCGGAGCATGGGCTCTAGGTGTGCGGGCTTCAGTAGTTGTGGCGCACGGGCTTAGTTGCTCCGCAGCATGTTGGATCTTCCCGGACCAGGGTTCGAACCCGTGTTCCCTGCATTGGCAGGTGGATGCTTAACCACTGCGCCACCAGGGAAGTCCCTTACTATAATCCTTTAATACAACAGAGAGTTTTCAGTTTTCTTTAAGATAAATTTTTCTTTGAAATAAAGCATTCATATAGAAAAGTGTTTTCATAAGTGTACAGCTTAATGATTTTTTTTTAAATAAACACTCCCTTGTAACCACCTCTTAGACTAAGAAACAGACATTTTCAGGACTGCAGAATTCTCCCTAGCGTCCCTCCCAGTCACTGACTCCCTCTGCCTCAGGGTAACTACTATTCTGACTTCTAATGCCATAGATTAGTTTAGTTTAGTTTTCTTTTTAAGCTTTATCTACATAAAACCATACAGTATGTTCACTTCTGTGTGTGAGTCCTTGCGCTCAACATTACTCTTGTCAGATTCATCCATGTTGTGGTGTGTAGCTGCAGTTTGTTCATCCTCATTGTTCTGTAGTATCTCATTACATGAATATACCACAATTTAGTTATCTAGTAACTGGTAGTAACTGTTTGGGTAGTTTCCACTTTGGGGCTCTTATGGATGGAGCTGCTATGAACACTGTTTTACATATCTTTCAGTGAGTGTGGTACAGAACAGAAGACTGCCAGATGCTGAAGGGTGCTGGGACTTCTGTTGGCATGTGCTAGGACCCTTCCCATTCCTAATTAATAATGTGTAACTAAAGGAAGTGACAGTTCTGGCAACCTGTATCCGACTTTGTACACCAAGTAGAATGGCTCCCAAGTCAATTCAGTAGGAACCATCCCACATGGCTCAGTTGCAGGTGGAAACTGCCTTAGGTGGGCATTCTCTTCCTTGCTTGCAGGGACAGAGATTGTGGGGATGACCAAAGAAGCCCAGAGCCATCCAGAAATGTCACCTTCACTCCCAAGAGAGATGAGTGAAGAATGAATTTCTGTGCAGTTATCTGTGAGTCCAAATTCAGAATCCCAGACATTCTATTTGCTTTTGAAACTGGGGTGACTTTATTTCCTTTAATGTCTTGTTCATTTCTTATGGAGATGTATGCTAAGAGGGAGATTTTGCAGGTGGAGTTCCTAGATTTTTCTCTTTTAAGAAATGTCCTGTCTTGGAGGGATTATCTCTACCATTCTTGCTTCCCCCCGCCCCCACCCCAGATCCTGTGCAGAGCTTTCTTTCCCTGACTGCTCCAGCCACAGTCTCTGCCCACTGTGAACTCTTGTAGCATTTATTCTGTATATGATCTCCTGAATTTTTGCCTTAGATTATTATTAATGATCATATGTTTAATGACATTGTAAGGCATGTGAAGAGACAAGGCCCACCCACGTTTTGCTTCTTTGTACTTCCCAGGGCCTTGCCCATAGAAGGCACTTAATAAATATTTATTGATCTCTTTGTTGAGTCTAGAAATCTTAACTGATGTATTTAACTGATTTCATGGACTTTTAATTGACTGTAGGCTGTCGGGGGTAGTTAAAAAATAAGTTTAAAGAGATGTGCTATTCCTTTGAGCAGGCCTGGTAAGAGAGCATATAATACACTTAAATGTTATAAGAAAATTGGGAAAGAACTGTATCCAGCCTTGTTAAAAATTAGGAGCGCTAATGACACTCGTGAGCTAGAAGTGGAGGGCGGGGCTAGGGACTCCGTGTTAATTCTTCAGAGAAAAATATTGGATTTACAGCATTTCTCAGAATACTCCTCCATTAGATGCTAAAATTCCGTGTGAGTCATCCATTACTTTGAGCTCTGCCTGTTGGTTTTGATGCATCTGTATTGATGGAACTTGTTTTAGAGAGTTCTCAGTGAGGTTCTTTGAAATGGACTTATACCCTTCAGTTTTGGGCTTTCCTCTTGTTTGCAATCCTGGGAAAGCAGGTGTTGTTAACCATGGGTGCTTTCCCTGGGGCAATGTAAGTTTTGACTTGTTTGAAAGCCAAAGCAAAATATTAGCTATAAACCCTGAGCTGGCCTTCGGGTGGAAAGTGGCCTCAGGCTGTAGGAGCTTAGATTAGTTCTGGGCGGTGGATGGGCAGGGAAGGCAGGGGCCAGGACAGAGACCAAATTCTAAGCCTGAGTTATCTTTGTGGAGATTATGGGCTGAAGATATGAAGAAATATGGCTAGAACTTTTCTTTTTGTCCATAGCAATGGTCTTTTAAAGCAAGAGTATTTTCTTTTAAAATTTATACAGAGTAAAGTCACTTTTTTTTGGTGTATAGTTCTATTTTAGGGGTGTGAAAAATACATAGAGTTGTGTAGCTATGCTGTATTAGTTTTCTGTTGCTGCTGTAACAAATTACAACAAGTTTAAAGGCTTAAAATGATACAAGTTTATTATCACACAGCTTTCATAGGTCATGTGGACAAAGGATGTCGCCTGCCATTGATGGTGCACCCTGAGGGGAATTCAGGACATAGAAAAACAGAATACTGGCCCTAGATAGTTAAGATGCATATCAAAGGAATGTTTTCCTTAGCCCAGACTCTTTCATCTTCCTATACATAGAAAAGCACTAAAATCATTAACTTGAGATG